TTATACTGAACAGGCATAGTTAATAATTTGTTGTTTAATAGAATCCAGCTAGTTGTTTTCAAAATAATTGTTCCCATCAGTGAGTTAATCATTTTGTATTATCCTCCCTACATGCCTCTACTTTTATTATCAAATGTTTTCACACATCAGAGATGTTCAGAGAGCCAATTGCAGGCACCTCTGTCCTCTGACCTTTGAACAAGCCAATGGCAGGTGACCTATCCCTTCTTCCCCGGGACTGTGAAAAGGACCCTGGGCAAGAGGAGATTCTGTATTTCCAAGCAGTCCTTCCTCCACCTCCCATCTCCTCCCCACTTCTCCTTTGATGATCTTCCTTGGATTGACAAAATTCAGTGAGTGACTACTATAGCTAATATTTATTAAGTACTTACATGTGCCAGACACTGCAATTTGTGCTTAATTTCAAACCTGACATCTCATGAAGTCATTATGATTATCCCATAAAGTAGGCACTATTTTCCCCCTTTTTACAGATGAGGAAACTGAGGTTCAGAGAGATAACCTCGCTTGCCTGAGGCTTCATAGCAGTCAGGATTCAAGCCCACATCTGCTTCACCTCATGTTCTCATCCGCATAGGGATGCTGACTACCACATTGGATGAAGTGAGAGATGGCTGGCTGAGACAGACAAGTCCAAAGGCAAGCATTTCATAATGACTTACAGTTGCTACTTCCAAGGGACTTTGGCGACAGGATCCCCCTGAGAATCTAAGTAGACAGTAGTCATTTGTAATTAACAAACTCATCCTTTGAATATGAAACTGCAGCTATAATCTCGACTTGGTGTTAACTCCAAAATGGGTTCACTCTTTCTTCTGTTGATACCATGAGCAGTTAGAGAGAGCCAGAGCTGGGAGAACTCATCCCAACCCCTCTCCTCACAGGAGGAAACAAGAAAGTCCCCAGGCCACCTGTTACCAACCTGCTCTCCCCCAAACACAGCAAGGGGCTGGAGTTTCACCAGCCCAGTCTCCACCCTAAGCAGATTCTCCAAACCACTAGGGTGCTGCATCAGCTGTTCAGTGCTTACTTTCTTTCCATTTTTTTTTTTTAAACACAGTGGGCTTAAGGGGCAGTTCCAGTCTTTTCTGCCAGGGTGGTTTTGGCATCTCTCAGCCTTCTCTGCTTTGACGTGACACTGGCATCTCATGGGAACAGCAGTGGGTCCGCTCTGATTATACAATACTGAACTAAGTAACACCATCCATCCAATCAACAAACATTTGTGAAATGCCTACTACATGCAGTAGATTATTAGGTCCAGTTTCAGGTACTTCCTGTGTATTCATTTCATTCTTACCTCACCCTCATTAGTTAGGTACCACCGCCATTTCACAGGGGACATGGAGCTCAGAAGGGTACTTGGGTCCAAACACCAAGTTTAAGGCCCTGCAACTGGGACTTCAACCTACTGCACCCGGCCCTACCTGTGTCATGGTCATGGCCCTTAGGAGTGTTTGGAAATGGATCTTTCACAGAGATGTGAAAGGTAACATGGAATCCAGTCCAATACCTCTGTTTATACACAGAGAAACTGTGGCTGAGTAAGGGAAGGTGACCCACCTAAAGTTGCACAGCTGATCAAAGGCATATCAGGGACAGATCAGGTTTGCCAGCTTCCAGGCTGATGGTCTTTCCACCCCAATAGCTGCTGAAATGATCCGTCCTGGGCCTAATCCCTTCCTTCTAGGTCATACCGTGGCTGGGGCTTGGGCCTATGGGCTCAGCAAGCACTGTGGGGACTTGGAGTGCTGCCAAGGGGCACCTTGGACCACCCCCCCAAACTCTTCTGTGCGACTGAACCCCACTGGTTGCTGAAGCTCTCTGAGATGCTAAAGGGTGGAGAAGGTGAGAAATGGATTTTCCTCTTGAGCTCATCCTCACTGGCCCTTAGTCAGTGTCCTGCTTTCCCAGGAATCTATACTCTCCTTGAAAACCAGACTGGCCCGAGTCCTGCCTCTCCTGAAACTGGTCACGTTGAATCCGAATTTGGGCTTGGCTGGCTTTCAGCCCCACTCTCCTGCTGTGTTCCTGGTCTGTGGCCAGGTCAGTTGTCCCCATGCCCCACGGCAGCCATGGCCCCACCCTAGACTCACCTTTTTGCTCTCATTATCCCTCCTGCCAATGCACTTTTCAAAAACCCAGCTCCATATTGTTTGTCAAAAAACAATGTGGAAAATGGTCCAAGTGTGCACTGATAGAGGGATGGCAGAGAACACCCACTCACAGGGAATACACAGAGGTTGACGATCTCTCTCTGGAGGCTGGGAAATAACACGGGACAGACTGGGGCTCTTGTGACACAGTAAGTGAGCAGGTGTGCCCAATGGCCCAGCTGTGCCCAAACCTGCACTTGGAAAAGGGCCTGCAGGGACTATTTAAAGAGTGGTAATAGTTAATGGTTGTGTGGTGCGGTAATGAGGGTGCGGTGGTAATAATTTTCCCAGGTGGTTTCCAAATTTTGTGTCATGATCCTAAATCTAGCTTTACGATAAGAGCAACAGAGATTAAACCAGCTCCTTCTTCAGAACTCACTGTACCCCAGCCAGGCCTTGATTTCTGCACCCTCAGACTCAACAGAGACCACTGTTTTGATCCACACACAGGTCTTTCTGTGAGGAGCTGCCCCCCCCCTTCCCTGGGGGCAGAGACAATATTTCACTTATCTCCTCCTTTGCATCCATGCATTCACACACACATCACCTCTCCCTCATTCACACACCACCACCCTCTCATGCACACTCACATGCCCGCTCTCCCTCTGCACTCCTGTTCTCAGTACCAGGACAGTGCTAGGCCCACAGTAAGCAACCTAGCTTGGATTCTTTCTCAACCCTGGCTGACTGGTTGGGGACAGGGCTGAATTTTGTATTAACTCGTCTAGATCCATACTTTCATACTCATAAAACTACCCAAACTCTCATCTAGCAGAAGTCTAGTATGAGATTTAAGTGATTTAGAATATTTTCTGGTAAAAGCTAACAAAATGAAACCTTAAAGCCACAATGCCTGTGTTTGAAATCTGGCTCCTCCACTGTGTGAACTTGAATAAGTTACTTAGCCCCTCCATGCCTAAGACATAATTCCTACTTCTTAGGGTTGTTAGGAGGACTAAATGACTTAATATTTGCAAAGCAGGCAGAACAATATCCAGCAAGGTGCACAGGCTACATAAATAAGAGAAAGATGTCAGTATTATTTGAAACCAGCATTAGCTGCCCATTCATTCACTGCATCTCATTCATTCAATATTTATTGAACACCTAGTGAGTTCATTAAGCCAGACAAGGGGCATACACCTCACCATCTAGTAGAAACACACACTCCCAACAACGTGATTTTTTTTTTTTACTTTTAGGAAAACGTGATTATTCTAAGTAGAGATTTGCACACGATTCTAAGAAAAAGGCTGGAGAAAGAACATTGACCTATTACCATGTAAGCTTAAATAACAAAACAAAAACCTACAGTTCAATCCTTTGAATCCATTCAAAAGGCTGAATTTGGCCTGATTTGTGAATTTAGACCAAGGTTTGGTACACACAAGCATTCTGGAAAATAACCATTTAATGCCGTCTATTCAGACTCTCTGGATGTTTTTCTCCCTCCCTCTCCCAACTACCCCTGATCACCCAGAAAGTAATCTCTGGGTCCACCCCCAGTCCTCAATAATTAACGAGATAGTCATTTTTAAAAAATCAACATATAAATATTTGGGAGAGGGAGGGCGAGGATGGAGAACGCCTCAGTAACCGATACCGTCTCCACTGATGAACCCGCAGCAATTGCATTTTAAAGTCTTGGTGGTTTAACTCAAAACCACTTTGTGAGCTGGGATCCGTACAGTTGGTTTAAAAACTGATGGAAAAATGAAATGCAGTCAATCCGCACCCCTCCCCAAATCCATTCAATTCTTTTCAATGTAATCGCTTTTATACGCATTGAACCCAGTCAAGCTGGTGTTCGTAGCTCAGGTCGTCCACACAGACCCAGCAGAGTCCGGAACCTCAGGCGGAGGATCCACGCGCTGGAGCCGAGGCCCACCCACCACTCCCTCCGGCTGCGGTTGGCGAGCCAACACCCAGCGAGACGAACCGCTTCGGGAAGCACTCAGCACTGGCAAGTGGCTGCTGTGGCCCACCGCGGGCCAGGCTGTCACCTCTCCAGTCCCTCCCAGGCGTACACGAAGCGAGGGCAGCCCTACCGCTCCGAACTTCAGCCGGCAGACGCTGGACATGCGGTTTGGCGAGTTTCCCAAACTCCGGGCGCCGGAATAGCTTTGCCAGACCCCAGGCGGGAGCGAGCAGGCGCAGCCGCCCGCGCAGCCGGGGACCCGCGTGTGCAAAGGCTCAGAGAGCCGGCGTTGTGCTCCCGCCGGCGGCCCGGCCGCGACACAGGACCGGTAACCACCGCCGGATGCACAGTCTCCTCCCGGGAGATTGCGATATTGATCAAGGGCTCCGAGGAGCGGGGACATTTATCTCCCTGGACTCTCAGCTTTCCACGGAGGGGCAGGGGCAGCGGCAGGAAGGAGCTCCCAAGAACCGGGCGGGGGCGTGCGGGGTGGGACAGCTGATGGGAGTGTGCTTGGACTGGGGGGGGGACCCATCTCCAGACCTCCTATCCCAGGGTCGGGGTCTGCATGGGAGGGGAGTGAGGTGGAACCAAATGCTGACTCCCAACGCCTAAAGCGATTCTCCACACGGAGCTGGTTAGGCGGGTGGGCGGGCCCCCTCCTCCGCCAACATCCCGGCAGCTTCGCCACGAATGCTTTTTTCACCCGAGTTCTCCCCCCACGCACTCTACGCCGGCTCCAAAGGTCCAGAGAGAGAGGAAGCTGTACTGCCCCTCAAGCCCCGGCCGCCCCCGGACCTGTGCACAGTCTACCTAGTGACCCCAGCACATCCACAGCCCACCTGCGCCCGCGCCTGCTGGGGCTGGGGGCGCCCGCGCCTGAAGGCGGGCCGGCTTGCTCTTACCTTGACGAGCCGCAGCTGCGGGCGCTGTCCCATTCTCGAGCTCGCTCGGTCACCGTCCTGGGCGTCTGGGTCCCTCGGACATCCTAGGGGGGCTGGCCGGCGCGCGGCGCAGGGTGGGCGGCGGGGCTCCTCTGTCCCTGCGCGCACGGAGGTGTCCGCCACCGCGGTTCCCGGCCCCCAGCCCGGCGCGGCCCCGCCGGCTGCCGCGCTCCCCTCCTCGGGGAAGTCCGGCTGCCGCTTCTTGACTCAGCCCGGCCCGCAGCCGCCGCTCGCCCGCCGCTCGCCCGCCTCGGCCCCGCCGCCTCCCCCTCGGCCCGCGCGCTTCTCGCCTCGGCTCCCCTCCCCTTCTGTCCTCCCCCGTGCCTCGCCCCTCTGCCCCACCCCGCCCCGCCTCCTCAGTCCCCACCCCTTTCCCAGTGCCGGCTACCCGCGCCCTCGCCGCGCTGACCCCCTTTCGCTGAGCCCGGGTTTGCGGCAGTCCGCGGGGCGCTCTGGCGGCGGTGGCGGCCGCCGCAGCCCGGGGAGAAGCCGGGATGGGGAAGGGGAAAGCGGCGGGGAGGGAGGCAGCATCCTTCCTTCCGCCGGCTTGAGGTCCGGGCCTGGGGAGTCCAAGGGAATATGGGGAGACTTGGGGGGCTCCGGAGACTCTGAGAGCGGGGCTATTGGAGGCTGGGGAATAGGGGCAGCCCCGACTGAGAAGAGCCGCCGCGCAAACCTGGTGAAGCTGGGAACTGCTTTTGGGCAGTTCCCGCCCTGTAACTGGCCGGAAGGTCCCCGCCGCCCCGACTTCAGCAAGGCCTGGACATTGGGACCGACCCCCAGAGCGGTAGGCACTGCCACGCTAGGTACACGCAGACGCGCCGGCTCTGCGGCAGGATACCTCATTAATTAATTTGTTCGCTCATTCACCCATTCAATTTACAAACTAAGCTCCTGCCCAGTTTGGTCCAGGGAAGGAGCTAACCTGGGAACCTCAAGCTGAAAGGGAGACCGCAGTGCCCTGCAGGACGGGTGGGCCTCTGAACGCCGCGGGGGAAAAGTGGAGCAAGCACTGCATTACGGAGGGGAGAGCATCTAGGAACCCAGCTGTCAGGGCGTGGGGGCCACAGCGCCCCCTCTAGGCCGAACCCTCAGGGTAGGGGTCAGCTGCCCGGGCAGACCTGGTCTTCCTCTGGCTTGGCTCCCTAGCTGTCCATCCCACCGCAGCTCTGAGAGGCAGCTTCCACCCCTTAAACTTTTCTCTCCAACCTTTCCAGTTGGACAGACCTTCTGACTGCTTCCCACCTCTTCCATCCTCCCGCCAGAGCAGAAAAAAAGGAGGTAAAGAAATTACTCTACCCGGCAGAGCCTCAGCCTGCTGTGCCAACTGCAGCCAGGGGAAGCCAGAGCACTCACAGAACCCTGGCCCAGAGTGGCAGAGAGCCGGTTTTGAAGTCTAACTCTGAACCTAACTACCCTGGATTCTATGCCCTGCTGCACTCACCCCCCTCCTCCCTTCCACCCACTGACTTTGGGTAAGAGCCAGCACATTTACAGGTCCCACCTTTAAAAGGGAAGTTGTAAGAGATAGTGTGTTCTAACACTGAGTTCACAGGTGAGGAAACTGAGGCACACAGACCAGTGGCGACTTGTCCAAAGCCCCATAGCTGGTGAGCCTAGTTCTCAGCCTGCTGATTCCCAGCTCAAAGTGCCAGGAGGGCTGGGTCCTGATGGGGTTTGGAGCACTGAGTGGGGAGGTGCATTGCCCAGGAAGCCAGCTGGTCACACTGGCTTAGCCACAGAGGGTGGCACTTTCTAGATGAAGCACACAGTCGCGAGTCTTGCAAATCCCCATGAGGTTAGTGCCTCCCACCTGAACTCACCCCAACCAGTCTCCAAAGAGATGGGTGCACCAATCAGATTGCCAACTTATTCTCAACAAAATCAAATGTAGAGTGGTCTAGGGTAGTGAAGGTTCTGGAGACAGACAGCTCAGTTGGAGGCTTGGCCCTTCTGCTTAGAAGTTGTATAAATGTGCAAAATTATTTAACAGTGCTTTAATTTTCTCACCTACTGGGGGGCAGGCATAACTCCCTCATGGGGTTGTTGAAAGGTTTAAATGAATTAATATCTGTAAATGGCTTGGCACAGTGCCTGGCATACACCAAAGGCTTGATGAAGGTTAGCTATAGTCACCATCAATGTCATCCAGTGGACCAGAGGTTCACACATATGGGCAGCACAGTCCCTCCTTCTAGGCAATTCCTTGTGGAAAGTGGACTTCCTGATTAGGAGGTCACAGCACTGGTGGACTGTGGGATCAGAGGGAGGAAGCTGGCAGGTCCTCAGGGAGGTTTGCTCAGGCCTTGCCTAGGCCTCACTCCCCAGCCCTGCCTGACCTTGGAGCTGACTCTCCTGCGATGAGACAGCTCCAGATTTCCAGATTCTGTTTCTCTTTAATAAACACCATCTAAATTTGCCTTTCTGAGCCCCTTCATTTTCCCCTTGGCATGTTCTTTAAATATGCTAATACCATCGATTAGACTGTAATCAAGCCTTGCTCTTCCTGCCTTTTGGCCTCCGATGCAAACCTCTTTCTAAAGGGGCATCTACTGACGGCACTTTTCATCCTCCCAGTGTAGATAGTCTGTGTTGCTTTTACTGACTTAACACTTCTGCTCCCACAGGGGGCTTCTGTGTTACTCTGTTACCTACCTATTTATAGTTTTGGCCTTGACCGTGTCAGAGGGTTACTGAGAGCCTCATGTTAACACCTATTCTTTAAAAGGGTTCCATATCCCTTTCATTTGTCCTGAAATTACTTCCTTCCACCTTCAAGAGCCCAGCTTTCATCTGCTTGGCTTGGTGAAGGTGCCAGTTCTGAGGCCTTTCATGCCCTCCCCCCACCTCAGCCCCAGCCGTCCCAGCACCAGCCTAGGCTCAGGGTGGTCTCCTTAGGCAGCCTCTCCACCCTCCTCACGGTGGCCTCCTGCTCCATTTGAGCATTTTCTTCCCCTAAACGCTCTTCCGACCTCTCCTTTGCCCACTCCTCTTCCTGCCCAGGCCCAGACCAGAATCAGCTTTCATTCAAGTAACCTGCCAGATTTGAAGAAAGGAGAAATAGGAGGAATCCAGACAGGAATAAAAGAGACAATTCCATGTCCTTCCAAACAGGAGGAGAGACAAATGTGAGAACAAGCAGTGATGGATGGGGCTCAGCAAGGTGAGGCTTCCAGTTGGCTTTAACCGTGGGCATTCAGTGGGTTCCGTGGTCATGTATGCCAAAGAGCCAGTTCTTGATTTAAAAATTTCTGATCTGTTGTGGAATGAATTACAAAATACAGTGGAACTGAATTATTAGAAACATGAAAAAAAACATATAGACATACAAAATAGTAGCCAATTTTTTAAAACTCTTAGATCCAATGGACATAAAACTATTCTGTCAAATTGCTTTAAATTTTCTAAATGCTTACTCTCAATTTCTGCACTTATCTTGTCACAGACTGACAGCAAGTAGTTGGCAGACGGATCATGCTTGGAGTAGCACTAGTCTAGAATGCTTCCGAAGTATGAGGTCAGGAAACTGGCCTCATGGAGGAAGTAGCTTATAAAATGACATGAACATCAGGGGAGATGGTGTTAATTGCTCCATTCATCTGTGCATTCATTCAACAAACATTTAATGAACAGCAACTATGTGCCAGTCACTGTTTGATGCTGAGGTTAATAAAGATTAATAAAAAAGGGCCCTAGACCTCAGGATGTTCACCGACCAGAAGGGGAGACAGCCACTCAGATAAATAATTAAAAGCTACTGAAATTAGGTCAGTAATGGACCAGACACCATGGGCATGGAAGCAGGAATATTAATTCTGCCTGCGGCCATTGGGGAAGGTTCTACCAAGGAAGTGATATTATGTTGGGGTCTGGAGGCAGAGAGGCAGATGTTCAATCCCATATGGCAGGCCAGCACTCAAAAAAAGAGTTAATGTGTATAAAGTGCTTAGTGCAATGCCTGGCACAAGGTAGGGTTCAAGAGTGTTAGCTGTCTTTATTATTAAACCTTATAAATTATCATAATCATAGTCCACCCAGATCTACCCCATACTGTGCATACTTTGGATTGAGGTTGTAGGGTAGCTCAGTTGGAGGCAAACTGGCCTTGACCAAAGGAAAGATCTCGAGCAGGTGGGTTGGGAGTTGGGTATTGAAAGAAGTGGGTAGACAGGTGAAGAAGAGAGAGGAAGACCTTCCAGGCAGGAGTATCACAACCACAAATACGAGGCAGGGAGGAGACAGGCCTGATGGGGTCATGTGATGGGGGTGCCATGGCTGCGTGAGGCTGGATACAGTTGGCATGGGGCCGGGGACAGGCTTAGATCTCCTTGGGTAAAGGGCTTGATCTTATTCATTCTCTGGTTTAGAACAACAGGTAATATCAATGCTAATCAGGATCTGTACGCCAGTTTGTACCGCATAGCTCTTTAATGAACATTTTCTCATTTAATCCTTGTAACAACCCTGTGAAGGAGGTATTAATAGCCTCACTTTACAGATGAGAAAGCTGAGCTCAGAGGTTGATCCCTTGCCCAGGGTCACATGGCTGGCTTTGGCACAGGCAGGATTCCAGCTCTCGCTCCTGCTCCAGATATTTTCCGATACACCAGAGAGGTGACCTGAGCCTAGACCCTCAGGGACCCTCCTGTATCACCCAAAGGAGACCCTGGCTCCAGGAAAATGATGCTCTAGGACCAGTTTTTCCCTTTCTTTTTTCCCAGTGGATGGACAAAAGGGCGGAGCAAAGGCAAGCCATGGAACCAGCTTGGCAGCGACAGCAGGCAGGCAGGGGTGGGCAGCTTAGCCACAGAGGCCTTGGGTGACCTGCCCACTCCTTCTCCTCTCCCTGAGTCTGCGTCTGTATCAATCAAGGGCCAGTGTGCATACCCTGCGTACAATTACCGTATTTTTGCATCTATTAAATGTAACCAAGAGGGCAATTGAAATTGTTTGTTTTTTTAAGAAGACTATTTAAGGATGGACTGAAGTAAGAAGGGTTGACACCCTGGGGAAATTTTGGAAGCAAAAACAGATCAGAGATGCTAGCCATGTGTGCAGAGTCCACAGGACGGCCCACACTCACTTATCTTTATGAGAAATAGCACCCCTCTAGCCCAGGCTGGTGGTTTTCAACCTCGGATGGTTTTGGCCCCCAGGGAACATTTGGTCATGTATAGAGACACGTTTCATTGCCACAACTGGGGGATATCTACTGGCATTTAGTGGGGAGATGATGCTAAACAC